TTCCACAAGGCAGGGTCGAGCTGACATGATCCTGGTCCTTCCCTCACAGTTGCTCACAGGCCCTGCATGCTCTGAATGTTCCTCTCTAGTGACTCTGCTCCAGCTACACTGGCTCCCTTGCTGTTTCTCAAACATACGCTTCTGCCATGTACTTCTGCCTCAAGGACTTTGCATCTGCTCTTCCCTCTGTCTGGAATATCTCCTCCAAAATCCACGAGGCTTGCTCCTCCACTCCTTTCAGATGTTAACTCAAGTCACCTTCTTGTTGAGGCCCTTTCTGGCCACAAGGGAACCACAGGGAATTGCCAACATTACTCCATTTTTAACCTATAAAATGCCATTTCAAAATCTAGTAATATTTAACCTTCCCCCAATAACATTCCCTACCCCCCCCTTTCACTGCTCAATTTTTTTTCCCTTGGCCCTCATCATCTCACCTACTCTATAGTCTATTGATTTGTTTATTATCTTTTTCCTCCACCAGAATGTAATCACCATGAAGATAAGGACTTTTGCTCACTACCATATCCTTAAATCTTGGAACAGAAACTTCCACATAGTAGATGCTAAATATTTTCTGTATGAATAAATAAGTTTCGTTGGGACTAAAGTGGTAAGACTAGGCACGCTAGCCACATTTACAATGATGTGCAAGGCTCCTCCTCTGTTCAAGATGGGGCAGACATAAGGAATGGAGTCAATACGGTATAGTACGGTAAAAAGACTCAGTACAACAAAACCTCATTAATTAGGACCATTGCACATCTTTGCAAAATTTTCCCCACACCTTTGTACAAGGTGTGTCTTCACTGAAAGAGGAATTAGGCAGGAACATTCTTTCTGGTGGAGTTGCTGACAGATGGAGTCTCCCCAGGGACCAATTCCAGTCCTGTAGCAGAGTTTCTGAGGACTTTGCAAGCACAGGTAACAGCTATCAGAACCTGGGAAATACTCATCATTTGATTTTCCAGTGTTTTCTACTTTACTTTTGGGTGAAAATGTGCCATCTTTGTAAAAAGTATTAGGACTAACTAATTGGTATAGTCTCCTCCCTCTAAGGTGAAATTAAAAAGAAAAATGCTTTTTCTTAGTAACATCCCTGGTCACGTACTTCCCAAAGACTCATTGAGTTTTCTCTCTTGAATCTTACACCAGCCACAGCTCCTGAAATTGGTGTCCTCGTGGAATGGAGCCTAGGATAATTTAGGTCCCAAATACAGCTATACTGCCTAACCAGCTGTGTGAGTTTGGGTGAATCATACATCCTCTGCGAATGCACTTTCTCACCTGTACAATAAGTCTAAAATCTACCTTTTAGATGTGTAGAAAATAACTGAGTAATAAACATAATATAGCATCATGAAGTATGAAGAACAAATTGCACTGTGTTAAAAGATGATGCTATGATAGGAATTTGGGCCTTACCAATACATACAACTGGGTAAATCCAAAAAGTAACTTAGTTGCTTACTTCTGACTCTAGCAGTAGCAAGACAGCAGAGGGCTACTCAATATTCACTTATTTGCCTGACCCTCACTGACTCACAAATCCCTTACTTCTTTCTACCTTCAGTAGTCCAGGAAAGCAAGACTTTCCACTCCAGTACATCTGTAGCCTCAATGAAAAATACCCCAGCTGTTCAGGCCCTCTCCTGAAATGAAAGATTTTTAAGCCTCAAATCTTAAACATGCACAAACAGGACATTCTATGTGGAAATACACCCTTTCTGCTAAACACTTCAAATTCCCATCTTTGTGTTTCCTTCATAAGCGTAGAAAAAACTCAGGAGGATGCTTCTTACTCTTAAAAAACTGAATTACCAAGATAAGGGAAACATTTTGGGAGCTGTAGGTCCCTAAGACATTTGTCACCAATTGCTTTTCTAACTATCCCCCAGAGGGTAAAATGGAAGCCAGACTATTAATAACTAAAAATTACAACCCTGATACAAAGCAATCTCTTCTCCTTTTTAATTGAAAATATCATGGGGAGAAGGGACAAGTCTATGAAAAAATCAAGCAATAGGGTACTGGTTTGCACTTTTTTCTAACAATACTGCATAATGATTGAGAGATCTCATGGCCTGGAATGTATTACCATTCTGATAAGATCAAGTAACCAATCAGTTAATGAGCAGATGTCACTTCTGCCTACTCAATATCAGGCTCTGTGCTAGACAAGGATGAGGGTGACAGGTCCTGCCTTACAAAGCTCAAGTTAGTGGGCCAGCCAGGTCCACCAACAGTCTATCACATGAGAGTTGAAGAGACTGGGGCCAGAGTAGTGGCGATGGAGTTGGAGGAGGGAGGGATATGAGAGGGACAAGCAGTCTGGAATTAATCAGACTTTTCTTCATTGAATGCATCCGTTTTTTCCCCAAGTGTCATTTTCTATCTTACTTCCTACATGATAAACAATCCATTGTCTAGTTTTGAACTTAAGGGGAAAGAGTGTGCATTCACCCACATTTGAGTCATACTTTCTTACAAAATTAGAAAAGACATAATTTTAAGCCTTCAGAAAACACTTTTCTTATGTATCTTATGAAGATTATGGCATAGATGTGGTAGCTGGCTCCTTGCTGCATCAGAATATTTTTCATCCAACTAAGCTCTACCTTTAAATAAAATACAGGTATCTTTGTTCTCTAAACTCCCACTGTCTAAATATTTGCTACACTGATATGCTAATTTTTAAACAAAACTCATTACCCAAACCTGCTAAATAAATCTGTTTTAGGGCGCATGCAAGAATATGTTTAAGTCATGCATGCTATTGTGTCTCAGTCATTCTCCTTATAGCGTCTTGAGTTCATGTTGTTTAAACATGTTGTCTTGTATGTATCTTATTCTCCACATTATTCAGTAAAAGGTCTTCTAAGAAACTAGAGAAACTAATGAAAGAAGTGGGCAAGACTTACAGGTCTATTGAAGTCCATGTACTACAAGAAAAGTTGGGAGCAATAAAGCACATTCAGAGACTGGCTAGAAGTCTTAAGTTTGGTCATGCATGTGCTCCCCACTCCTAGGAGCCAAACATAAAACACTGAAGATTCATTTAAAAATTTAGATTACGGCCGAGTGCAGCGGATCACACCTGCAATCCCAGCACTTTGGGAGGCCGAGGCGGGTGGATCACGAGGTCAGGAGTTCGAGACCAGCCTGACCAACATGGTGCAACCCAGTCTCTACTAAAAATACAAAAATTAGCTGGGCGTGGTGGTGCATGCCTATAATCCCAGCTACTCAGGAGGCTGAGGCAGGAGAATCACTTGAACCCGGGAGGCGGAGGTTGCAGTGAGCCAATACTGCACCACTGCATTTTAGCCTGGGCGACAGAGTGAGACTCTGTCTCAAAAAAAAAAAAAAAAAAATTAGATTCCATAAAAACAGCATGCTGGTACAAATAAATGTGATCATGGCATGAGCAGACAAGTCATATTGTCACATTCAATACACAATTACACAATTATTAATACAAATGCAGCTTTATGCTAACAAGAATTTTTAACCAAAGGGGATGTAAATAGCTAGCCACCATAAGTTCTGTTTCTCATCCCATTGCTCTGTGTGTAGCATCAGACAATGGTTGACAGCCAATCACCTCTGTACTCTTCTGATGGGAATGGAAGATTCTCCCTGCCTTCTCTTAAATCCAGATGAGCCTCAAATATTTCCTGTTTAACTAATTCCTTCACCAGCTCTGGCTTCCTTACCTCCTCCTGCCTCTGAATAGTAACAGTGACCACAGCTTCCAGCTCACTCTTCTCACCATCAGACCTCATACAAGCATGCCTTTGATCCCAAGAAACCTCTTTGAAAGTTCCCTTGTTTGCTTATTTTATTTTGCTAAGTATTACTGGCATACAGTGCACATCTTTAATATATTTAATATATTATTTCATTATTTATTTACCAGTACATGTACACTGCAATGTAGAAGGAAAATGGAATCCATTCCCAATACCAGACACTATGGTGTATGCTCTTGTGGCTTACTACATATAAACGTACCTAACAATTAGTTTATCAAATGCTGAATAACTGTACAGTATTATAAATAATTTACATTTTACAGAACTCCTTTGTGGTTTGTTAAATAAGTTTATAAAGGGGTGTTAGTGGTATCTGGCAAATTAATCAGCATTTTCCTGGGGGTTAGGAATATATTTTTACTTTTCTCATGTAAAATAGTGGAATATTGGCTTCTACTCTCTGAAAATGTGTTAGTAAACAAATTTTAAAGAACATATTAGATTCACAAAAGAAGGATCCTGTATAATTAGCAGTTACCACAACGCATACTTGCTCTTCTACCATTTAAAAGTGTCTAAACATTACCTTTATTTTCAAGGAAAAAAGTAATGAAGTAGTATATTAAAATGCATTACCTTAATTTGAAAGTCATTACATGTCTGGGTCAGTTAAGTTTTCTCTATTTATTGCTTTAATGTTTTTTTAAAAACAATAAAAAGCCAATCACCTGTATTTATATTCTGTTGGAAAAACATGTAAATTATATGAGCTGGGAAAGGAAGTTCAGACTAGTAGACTGCTATTCTGGTTTTATTTATTTATTTAGTGACAGGGTCTCACTCTGTTGTCAAGGTTGGAATGCAGTGGCACGGTCACTGCTCACTGCAGACTTGATCTCCCAGGCTCAATTGATCCTCCCACATCAGTCTCCCAGCTAGCTAGGACTACAAGCACATGCCACCATGCTTGGCTACTTTTTTTGTATTTTTTGTAGAAACAGGGTCTCACTATGTTGCTCAAGCTGGTCTCAAACTCTTGGGCTCAAGGGCTCCTCCTGCCTCAGCCTCCCAAAGTTCTGGGACTACAGACATGAGCCACCATCCCTGGCCCATTTGTTTCTTTTTTCTTTTTATTTTCAATTTGATGGGAAAAAAATATCTGTAGGTGTTATTTCTCTTGTTTTAGCTTTGTTTAGTAAAATTGTATTCTAGATCTTCATTACCTTTATCAATACTACCTCTCACCTGAGCTCTCCCACAAAAGGTTCCTCATCTGAATCTTGTATAAGTTCAGCTTCGTCACTGACTGCCTTTGAAGTGTAAAGTTGCTGCAGAAAAATTCAAATATTTAAATATTTAGTATGTATGCAAATAGTAAAAATGCATAGCATATATTAATTTTGGAGGCATGCTCATATCCAATGTTACAAATAATCTGCATATCAATGTGAGAAATGCACTGGAGTTTTACAGATTTGAAAACTTAAGATTATAGAGATACAATGATTTGACACAAGAAATAGAGCTAGTAGATCTAGGAGCAGAATTTCAAAGTTTGAACTGTGAGTTCATCACTCTTCCCACTGTACTACACAGTCACACTGTGAAAAAATCTTCCTCCAAAAAGCCATCTGTTTGCACAAGATTTTTTCTCCAAAATGTCCACTAATATGGAACAAACATCCTATAAACCTAGAGAGAAACTGGACTAGAACACAAATAGAGTTCCTTGTGCTGTAAGGGCAACCAAGGTATTGGGCCAAATAAGATTATTTTCTCTTTCTCAGAGAAGGAAGTAGGTACTGGGGTTGACTTCCAAAGTGGGATGTCTGTATTCTCATAGCAGATGTGACAGTTCAAATCCCACAAGGCTACAAAGAAGGAATAATGGAAGGGGCAACTGAATTAGGCAACCTCCTTAAACTGTCTTTCTTCTATACTACTTTTCTTACCATCTTAAATTTGAAGAAATGATGACATATATTACTTGTTCTAAAACTGAATGTAAAGGCCCACTCCACGGTTTCTAAAATGTGGTCTGAAAATCCCACATTTTAAACCAGAGATGAAAAGTAAAGCAAGTATGTTGCCCTCTCTGGATCACTGGCAGTAATAATGACAGTAATAACAATGATCACGACAATTTTAATAGTTCACATTTACTGAGTGCTTACCATATAGGAGAAACTGTCTTATTTACTCCTTACAACCCTAATAGAAGGTACTATGACTGCCATTTATAGAAAAAGAAACTGAGGCTAAAGGATGTGACTTGGCCAAGGTCACATAGCTGGTAGGGAAAGGATTTGAACACAGGAAATCTGGATCAGAGGCTTCCCTTATAAGGTAATGAGCTGGATATGTTTTATGTTGTAACATCAACACAATATTAACATGGCCCAAACAGTGCTGTTGATTTTAGCCTCCCACATTGCCTGATCCACATTGTCCCAGTCTTGCTAAAATCAGTTAATGGCACCTCCATTTGCTGAGTTCCATAAGCCAAAAAGCTAAGAGTCCTCCATGAGATGTTTCTCTCCCTTCTCCTAGACACTTTTAACTCATCAGCAAGGGCACTATCTCCAAAATATATCCCAAATCAGAATACTTTTATCTCCATTAGTATAATCATAGTCCAAGCCCCTGTCATCTTTCACTTAGGTCTTCTTGCTTCCATTCTTGTTTCTCTATACTCCATTTCTCACCCAGTATTCAGCCTGACCTTTAACAAAGAAAATCAGATCATGTCACCTTCCTGCTTTCCAATGCACTTGAAATAAAACCCAAACTGATTACCATGGATCTCAAAGTTCTACATAATTAGTCCCCTGTCTCTCTCCTGGATCTTATTTTCTGTTGCTCCTTCCCACTTTCACCTTATTCTGGTCACATAACTTACTTTGTTACTTGGAACTCTCCAAGCTAGTTACTACCTCAGGTCTTTTACAGATGTTGAACCCTCTACCTGCATTGCCTTCCTTTCTTAGCATCCCTAGGGGTCTCTGCTCAAGAGACAAATTATCCGAAAAGGACCTTCCCTGACGACTGTCTGAACTCTCCACCCGCACTAGTCATTAGCACATTATTCTGTCATCCTCCATGGCACTTTCCAATATTATTTAGCCATTGCCTATCTCCCCTAATGTCTCTCTGGCACCTAGCACAGTACCTGGAACACAGTAGGTGCTTACTAAATATGTTACTGAATGGATAAATTAATGGATGCTTAATCTATCAGAGGAATCCCAAAGTGAATCATTTTTAGAGCTAGAATTTGTGAATGGTATATTAGAGAACACAAAGAGAGCAGAAGTCTTTACAATCAGCTACCCAATGGGGCTGTGGTGGAGCTGCCTCAAAACTCACCTGGTATCAGAAGCCTTCCTTCATCTCCCTGCCAAAATGCTCATTTCTCTTAATGTGTTCCAGTCCCCAGCACCTACCTTTTATAATATTTTATATTATGTCAAGACTACTTGTAAATGATTGTGCATTTCTTTTGAGTGTGTCCAAATTTTCATTGAGATGTTCACTTTCTGAAACATAGGAGCTGATTTTCCTTATTTGCATATCCTAGCACAACCCTCTGCACACACTGAGTAATTTAGCAATGTGTCCTGTGGCTGAGAGACCAAAGGGGAAGTGACCCTTCAAAGGAAGCCCATGTCACCACAATGGGGGAAGCACAAACACAGTATACCCACCTGCAGGAGCTGAGTCCTGAGAATGCAAACATTTCCCACAAGATAAAACCGATCCTCCTGAGGAATACATGCAGCAGACAAGTCAGCATGGAGGTGGCTGGAAAATAAGCCACTAAAGACCATAGTAGACTCTAAGGAAGATAGACACACATGTGACAACAGAAAGGTGGACCAGTAAAACAAGAAGACAAATACCTGCCACATCCATGTGCTGTTTGCTAACCCATTGACAATTTTCAAAATTCTGAGCCATGGGATTTTTCCTGTCTTCTTTCCTTTTCAGCCACCCTCCCCACCAAAACATAAATAATTCATTACTGAGAATCAAATGTTGAGAGTTAAGGTTGGTTTTCAGTCTTCCGTTATTACCCTGTGGATGGACATTTTAGCCTCCAAAAGAGATGTGGCTCCTCTCTTTTATATAGACCACATGGGTAGAGTGTGTGGGAGTGTGTGTGTGTGTGTGTGTGTAACCTGTGCACACATAGTCAAGTAAGATTTTTTCAAAAAGTATGACCTTTAATTTCCAAGAATCATGACAAATATATCAGCCAGCTTTTGCGTGAGTTAATTTCATTTATTTATTTCTCACATGTTCACCAATATTTGGTATTATTCACACTTCTAATTTTTCCCATTCTGATGGGTGTAGAGTGCTAATGTCATTGGTTTTTAAATGTTTCATTCTTTGCTTATTAGTGAGTTTGAGTATCTTTTCATATATTTGTTAGCTATTTGGGCTATTTACCTCTGATTCAAGTCCCAGATATTTTAATGGCTCCAAACCAGTTAATATTAATTAATTTATGTTAATTTCTCAGCTTGCAGTTTCTGACACCTCAAAATTTGTAAAATGGACCCTATATCCACACACAACAAAAATTTGGGTTTTGGTTTCCTGTAAGTGGCACATTTTGTCCATTCAAATTCCCAGAGAGAGATGATGAACCCACTCACTATTCTTCTGGGCCAATGGACAGAACTTTATTGATCACTTTATTGATCTCTAGGTTTTATATACTGGTGCTTGACTGGGTGTTAGAATTCCTGACCCCAGCCAATGGAGCCTATGCATGACTTAAAACCCACCAAGGCCACCACAAAATCAGCTTCTTCTTATCATTATCATACTGCTTTAAACTTTAATTTCTGGTACACATAGACACATAGAGTCCCCATTATTTTAAGCTTGGATATGCATTAAACTTCTTTTGTTATATGTTTGCAATCATTTCCTTGTTTTATAAAAGGAAAGAGCCATCCTTAACAACTCAGTGTCCCCCACCTTGTAAATTTCACTGTTAATTTTTTTAAAGTCTAATTAATGTGAGTAGTCAGAAACTGTGGCCACAGGGATATCAGACAGTTTGAAAGTACCAAGCAGAAGAGCATTTATGTTAGTAATGAGAGGCTACATAACTCATAAATGTCATATAGATAAGATAAACAGAATTGCTTACCATTACAAATATCTCTTACATTCACAATAAATTTCACGTATTCGTAAGCAGAACTATCACCATGTTCAACATTTCCTCTTTTTAAATGACAGCAAAATTCAATATGTGTTTCTAATAAAAAGAGAACAAACACAAAACAAGTCTACATTTGTACTTTACCATATTCTACTGGATTATTTCATATGACCAATGTCTTACTTAGATTAGATTTCACAAAAATATTATTTTCTTTCCATGAACATTAGCATTTACATAGCTATCTATGTTGTATCAGTAGAGCAGGGCACCAGCTAGAACACTACACACGATGGTCCATTATTTATACAGCACTAATGCAATTGTACAAATGCTACAATACTCAGGGTCTGTGGTGAAGAATAAGATTTAATGGAGGAGAGATTTTTTAACACTAAAAATATAGTTTGTAATATTATATAAAAGTAAATTAATATATGATCAACAGCCATATATGCTCTAATTATCTTTTTAAAAATTAATCCATTGAGTGATTGTTACTTGTCCTTTAAAACCTAAGAATTTACTACTTTTAAAAATATACATACCTGAGTTTAACAAAGGAAATCTGAGAATAATCTTTTGGTAGACTTCATCTTTCTCTTCATCAGGCAGAAGGCTTAATAATTTTCTGCCCACAATCTCAGCCTGGCGGGAGAGGAGAGGAGGAGGTGAAGGGGAAAGGAAGGGGAAGAGGGAGAGAGTAAACTTTTTTATCTGTGTTAATACTGTTCAGTTCCTTTTTTATCTGTGTTAATACTGTTCAGTTCCTCTATCTCCTTACCTCCAGCGAGCTCATGCTCTGCCCCACCTCAGCCATCTACAGTTACATCTGTTATACCTCTAAAAAATACAATTCACATTATCCTACTTTATGACCACTACCTTCTACCTTTCCAGTGCACTCATACAAATACCCCTCTTGTATGTACCACCTCTCCAACAATGATTCCATCCACTAAGACCTCTAACCCATTTCTATCACATTTTCACTGTGCATTATCTTCCTCAAATCATCACATCTTTCCCTATCCAGCTCAGATTCCATGGTCACTGTAATCATTCCTATGTGCTCTTTCCCTCTACCACACTTGCCTGGGAAAATTTTGACTCTAGTTACTTCCAACCTTTCATTTACACCCACACCTTCACCCAAGCAATTGAATGTAGATGAAGAAAAACCCACAACTAAGCAGTATATTGTTTGAAATACTTATTCAACTCTGCCCAAAATTCATTTATTTAGACAATTTGCTCCCCTACTCTTTTTCCTCCTTCAAACCTCCAACGCCCCAGCCTTCCTTTTCAGCTGACCTAATTTCTTGTTTCAGTCAGTGAAAAAAATGGGAAATGTCAACATCTGACACCAAATCTACCAACCGATAATATCTATTCCTGTGCCTAGAGACCTGCTTTCCCTCCTCTTCCAATGAATAAGCTGTTACCTAAATTTGACTCCTTCGCCTGTGCACTGCATCCCATTTTCTGTAGACTATGAAAAGACATTGTTCTAGAAAGTCTTACTCTACCCCACACATTAAGTTTTCTTTTCCTCTTGACTGGGTGTTCCGATAAGCATACAGAATGCTGTATTATACATGCTATGATATCTGTCATCTATTTGGTCATTAAACACTGTATGCATGTATCAAAATATCACATGTATGCCATAAATATGTACAAATATTACATATCAATAAGAAACTTTAAAAATAATCAGGAAAACAAAAACAACAGCACAAAAATCTAAAAATGCATAACCTTCCTTTACATTACTGCCTCTCCCTTCAACTATAACTCTATTTATCTGGAGTTATGTACAAATATTATACATCAATAAGAAATTTTTTTTTTTTTTTTTTTTTTTTTTTTTTGAGACTGAGTCTGGCTCTGTTGCCCAGGCTGGAGTGCAGTGGCCGGATCTCAGCTCACTGCAAGCTCCGCCTCCCGGGTTTACACCATTCTCCTGCCTCAGCCTCCGGAGTAGCTGGGACCACAGGCGCCCGCCACCTCGCCCGGCTAGTTTTTTGTATTTTTTAGTAGAGACGGGGTTTCACCGTGTTAGCCAGGATGGTCTCGATCTCCTGACCTTGTGATCCGCCCGTCTCAGCCTCCCAAAGTGCTGGGATTACAGGCTTGAGCCACCGTGCCCGGCTAATAAGAAATTTTAAAAATTATCAGGAAAACAAAAACAACACAAAATTCTGAACATGCATAATCTTCCTTTACATTACCGCCTCTCCCTTCAATTATAACTCTACTTATCTGGTCCACTTCGGGACAAAAATTCCTGAAATGAAACTATACTTGTCACCTCCCCTTTCTTCACTTCTCACTCTTTCTTGAAACCACACTAATGAAGTTTATATCTAACCACTCCACTGAAACTGCTTTTGTCAAGGTCACTAATGCCCTCCATATTGCCAAATCAAATCATCACTTCTCAGCCCTTCTCAGCCCTCACCTTACCAAGCATTTCAGCATTTGATGCAACTGATCCTTCCTTTTCCCTTGATACATTTACTTGACTTGCAGGACACCACACACATGAGGATATACTTCTACCTCAAAGGCTACTCCTTCACAATTTGCTAGATCTTACTCTTGCTTCCTGAATACTAGGCATCGGAGTACCAGGGCTTAGTCATTAGGCCTGTTTCCCTACGTAGTCTCTTCCACTTCCATCTCATTAAATACCACCTATCTGTTAATGACTCGCAGATACTCGTCTGTTGCCCGCACGATAACTCAATTTGGATGTCTAATCAGATTTCAATTTTAAGAGATCCAAAAAGAACTCCTGATCTTTTCTTTGACAAAATATGTTCCTCCCTCAGTCTTCCTAATATCAGTAATGGCAACCACCATTTACCCATTTACTTGTCCTTGACTTGCCTTTTATCTCTCAAACTCAACATCCATCAGCAATCTCTAATGGATCAATTTTCAAAACACGTACAGACTCAGTACACTTTTCACCACCTGGTCCAAGTCTCATTCCCAGTTTGGATTACTGCAGTAGCCGTAACTGCTCTCCCTGCATCTGTTCTTGCCATGCCTCCACCACCACTCCATTCTCTATAGAACAGCCAGCGTGATCCTTTCCAAACATAAGCCACATCATGCTATTCCTATGTTCACTCAAAATTTTCCACTGATTATCCAAGTCATTCTGAATAAAAGCCAACGTCTTTATAAGGGCTTTCACCACTCAATATTCTAGTTCCTTGTTGCTATTGACCTTATCTGCTCTCTCTCTCTCTTGCTCACTGCACTCCAGGTACACCTAACTCCTCATTCACATCCAAACACAACGAGAGCAAATACTCATCACAGAGCCCTTGAACTGACTCCTCCTTAAATGTGAAGCACTGGTTCCCAAATACTTGCAATGGCTTTCTCTCTCACTTAATACAGGTCTTTACTCAAAAGTATTTTACATAGCACCAACTCCTTGACATTCTCTTATTGCCTTTTTTGTTATCTGTTTATTATCTGCCTTCCCCATTAAAATGTAAATTGCAGTATAACAGAGACCTTGCCTGTCTTATTCACTGCTATATCCTCAACACCTAGAACAGAGCTTGGCACTGGTAAGCATTCAGTAAATATTGGTTGAATGAATGAATAATATTGTATCATGTAGCTGAAATATGGTGAGACATGGATAAATTGAATATCAGATATAGAAGTAATGAGCTTTTAATGTGATAGCAACAAAGTAATAAAGTATTCTTTGTAGCTGAATAATGGCTTTGTGTGACAAACCACAAATTCCAATGATTTTTTAACTGATTAGCATTAATAATCTACAGTCAATATTCAGAAATATATCTTTATGGCCCATTTGTAGAAGCCAGCCTATGAACTGGTCAATGCTCGAATTAGCAGATGGATGCTGTCTCAATCAAGTTTGGCTTGATTAAGGATAGAAATATTACCTTAATTTACCAAACAAAACATTATGGAATTAACAGGCAATACATCTTGACAGTGAAAGTCACACAGTAAAAGAAAGGTAGATTTTTTTCACTAAATTTAACTTTTTCAATAAAAACGTTTTTGTTGGTTTAGTTATAAAATAGACTTTAGATGCCAAACTAGGTTACCTCTGTGGAGACGACTCATTCATTCACTCACCTAACACACGATAAACAACTGCTCCATGCCAGTCACTATTCTAGGTATGTTCACATATACAAGCTCACTTAATCCCCTGGGAGAGTAAGAATTATCCCTTGTCTTATTCTTCAGAAATTAAGGCTTCTCCAATTGTCAAGAGTTCAGAAATGCAGAAATGAAATTGACATGAAAGCTACATCTAATTCCGTATCTATTGTGCCTTTTACTACACCATAGCTGCCTAAGTCCAATTTGCATCAGGAACAGAAAATTTGCTACTGGACCAGTTCCTGTATTTTGGACATTCTACATGAAGTAATTCACTGAATAAGATTTTACACTTATTTCTTATAAGGGTTACAAAAGGTGAACCTGACAATGAATTCCAATGAGCACATAGTCTAGTAGGGCAGATTAAATATGCACAATCAATTATGATGTAAAGTATAAAATAATACCCTAACAAGAGGTACAAAGTGCTATGTCTCATAAGTTCTTTCATTAGATGAAAAATGAAGATAGTATTGTCACTTAAAAGAGTTCAAAGTGAGCTATCTTTTGATAGTCTACATTCTCTTGGATGTGACTAGTGGTAATGAGTTTCTTTTTGATTCTCTAGGGATAGGAATAGTGACAATAAGCTTTATAATTAACCACCAATTGAAACAGTGGATCTGTTCCAGTGACCTTGTTCCTTAGTTAGAAAAAGGGCAGAGACCTGAAAGCGTGATTAACCTCATGTTATTTTTGTAAATTTTTAGCATTTGCTCTTATTACACAAGGTAGAAAGATCAAGGTACTTAGAACTTAATGAAGCAAGGATAAATACCAGTGAAAAAATAAGGTGTTTTTTCAAAAGCCAAGTTTGCAAATATCTATTAGTTGTCACACAAATATTAGCATGGTGAGTCTCAGTCACGCCAAAAAAACAAACAAAAAAAAAGAATTAAGAAATTTACTGGGGACTCCATGACATTTACTGAGAATCTAGGCAAGAATCATCTTTTTTACTGCCAAAGACATTCATATTACACATGCATTAGAAAGCTATTCAACTGTATGGGGCACAGGGAAGGATAAGATCCTCTGCAGGAGATTTAGGCTGCATCTCAAATCAAATGAGACTCATCACTACTAAATCTCTGCTATCTGTAAGCTTCTCAGGGAAAACAGAGCAAATCTCATCACAGTTATCACAAACTAACCATGTACCTATGTTCAAAATTCGCTAAAGTCTAATCTCTTAAAGATTCAATGCTGAGAATCTTTTCAGATGTAGCGTATGTTTTAAAAGTTTCATTTGCTTTAGAACTGCAAAAGAGAATAAATATATGTAAACTCCTAGATTTGATTTTATTTTCAGGGGGAACAATGGAGTGGGGGTGAGTAGGAGGGCAGGCTGCTAAGAACAGGGGGCAGTGACTAGAACTTACTACTACAAATGACTATGAGTTTTTCCAAAGGAAAAAAAAAACTGTCAATAAAATCAATGATTGGGAAAATATGATGGAAGGTTTCAGATAAAAGTTTAATACCATGATGATAACGATAACAGGCATCACTTTATTCATGGTATATGTTGTAACAGCATAACTTGGACACATCTTATCTCTCTGTCATACCCATCTTCAATACATCAGCAAAACAACTTATTTTACCTACAAAATACTTTCACTGCCACATTAATCCAACCCACTACCATCTATAGCCCTCCAAGTGGACTCTGTACTTCCATGCCTGCCCCTCATAGCCAATTCTTGACATAAAAGCCAAAGCGATTCTGATAAAACTTAAGTCAGATCATTTCTTTCATCTGCTCCAACCTCCCCAATGGCTTCCTCCCATCTCAGAGGAAAAGGGATGTTACTTCTCCTGTTACTGCTCTGACTTTATCATCTCTATTTTCCTTTTGCTCACATCACTCCAGTCACACTGTTCTCTCTGCTGTACCTTTTCCTGCTTTCAGGCTCTTACATATGCTTTCTCCTCTGTCTGAAAGATACTTGCTCCAATTACCTGCATATCACACATACTCCATTCAGGTCTCTGTATAATCACGTTATTTATAATAACTCATCTCCCAGCACTCTCTAAGTAATATTATTTCCCCACTTATAGAAGAGAAACTAAAGGTTACGTAGTTAGAGAGAAACAAAGCAAATTTTAATTTCTAGATTATTTGATTATTTGATTCCAAAGACCAAGTTCTTTCCATTCCACCATGCTATTAGTTTGGAGTTGCTCCACAGACAGAGGTGCCTAGATGTGCAATGAAACTGAAGATTCCTGGAGCCACGCAGACACTCTAGAAATGGTTCGGTCTCCATTTTATAATATAAGTTGGATGACTTACAAAATGAAATTTTTAATCAAAGCCTGAGAAAAAGATTGCCTGTTTCGAAAAATTAAGAACAGTTAGGATTTAATGAGGAAGTGTGAAACTATGCCTCAGGTGTAGTCGTTTTTAACCTTGTTTTATAGGAATATATAACTTAATTCCCATTTAATGTTTATGTACAAATATAATAGTTATACATTTATTTTTAAGTACACTGATCTCAGGTAAATCAAGTCTATTGTTTAAGGCTGGCAGTTCAAAGCACATGTCCCAGATACCTCTCTAGACCTTGTGGTTTTGGGGCAGCGTGTGTGTGTGTCGTGCCTCAAATGTTGAAGGGTGAAAGAGCTTCTTGATAATGAAAACTCTGAACCAAATACGTAAAGAAGCAAGATCATATCATAACTAACACCATCATTATAATAAATCTTCACATAATAAGAAAAAGTCACCAGTCTCAGCCAATGACCAATTTGGTTTAAGCAATATCTGATGCCACAAAAATTTGGGTAGTTTTCTGGTCTTCATTATAATAAAATTTAAGCTGTAATGGATCATACTCGCACATTCCTTCTTTAAATATAGATTTTAAAAGAATCTTTTCCTTCTATGATTTAAATATACTAAAGTGCAATCCAATAAATATCTCTATTTGCATTTTATTCAGCTGTTTTGGTAGCCTACAAATATAAGCTGAATTTGAAAATGTAAACTGTTTTTTAAAAAAACGAAAGAGAATGAGAAATAAAAGAGATTGATTCTAGCATCTGTAATTTTTTTTGTTTTTTTTTTTTTGAGACGGAGTCTCACTCTGTCACCCAGGCTGGAGTGCAGTGGAGCGATCTCCGCTCACTGCAAGCTCTGCTGCCTCCCAGGTTCACGCCATTCTCCTGCCTCAGCCTCCCGAGAAGCTGGGACTACAGACGCCCGCCACCACGCCCGGCTAATTTTTTTTTGTATTTTTAGTAGAGATGGAGTTTCACCGTGTTTGCCAGGATGGTCTCGATCTCCTGACCTCGTGATCCGCCCGCCTCGGCCTCCCAAAGTGCTGAGATTACAGGCGTGAGCCACCGTGCCCGGCCGCATCTGTAATTTTTTTTAAAGGGTGTAAGGACTCTGAGTTTCCAAGCAGGCCACGGAACATGCCAACTGGCCTGGCTAAACTAGTGAAATGTTTTTAATCCACTTCCAACCTAACTACAGGATAATCTAACCCTAGCTTCTATTAATTTCCATGTTCCAAACTTGAGTGCTATAGATCTCTGGATCAGGGTTTGTCAAGTTCTTGAGACAACTCTGTGAGAATGAGGAATACGTAATGAAAACAACCGAGATATGATTGTTTTACACTACCACCAATAGTGCATAGGGGTTTCAATTTCTTCATATCCTCTCCCAAAACTTTTTGTTAACACAACCATGCCAATGGCAGACAGTTTGTGTGGGAGGGTTGTTGTTGGTAAATGTATTCTAGGTAACCCCTCCTCAAGCACCTGTATAAGTGGAATATCAAGGCCTTGCTACAGACTGAATGTTTATGTCCCCCAAAACTTTATATATTGAAATAATCTAACTGTCAATGTGACGGTATTATATTAAGAGATGGGGCCTTTGGAGATGATTAATGGGATTAGTGTCCTTATAAAAGAGACCCCTAGGCTGGGCATGGTGGCTCATGCCTTTAACCCCAGCACTTTGGGAGGCCGAGATGGGCAGATCTCTTGAGGTCAGGAGTTTGAGGCCAGCCTGGCCAACATGGTGAAACCCCGTCTCTACTAAAAATACAAAAATTAGCCAGGCGTGGTGGCGTGTGCCTATAATCCCAGCTACTGAGGAGGCTGAGGCAAGAGAATCACTTGAACCCAGGAGGCAGAGGTTGCAGTGAGCCGAGATCGCACCACTGCACTCCAGCCTGGGTGACGGAGTGAGATTCCATCTCAAAAAAAAAAAAAAAAAAAAAAAAAAAAAGAGCTCCCTTGCTTCTTCTACTATATGAGGTTATAATAAGAATAAAGATGTCTATGAACCAGAGAGTGGGCCCTCACTAGACACCAAATCTGTTGGCACCTTGATCTTGGATTTCTCAGACTCTAAAACTATAAAATGTAAATTTGTGTTGCTTACAAAGGCACCCAATCTACAGTATTCTGAAACCAATGAAAATGACAATAAAACAGGGGCACGTTTTGACAACATGGAAAACATCTTCTCTGATGAGCTTTATGCTCCTGAAAATAAATAATGAACCCCTAAACAACAAACCAGAATGATCCACTTTCCCAAAAGTAGAAAGAACTTACTGGTAAATGTCCAAGAAGAGAAGAGATGTTTTCAGCCACATGAATGATCACTCCATCTGCGCTCAGTGTAATCATAAAGCCATCTAATAACTAATGACGAGAGGATAATAATGTAATTAAATAGTGGAACAATAATAAAATGATAGCTTTATTGCTAAATGCTTAGATAATTATAATGGCACACTGAAATGTATTGCAGTCCTTAAATATCAATAAAATAGGCACAGACTTAATTAAAATTCCATTATTCTGCCTCCTACACAGAATCTACTTAACCTTAAGCATGAAATGTTTATCAAATGATATGTCACTTAAACAAACAAATTTCAATGTACACCCAATTAACATGAAATTCTCTAACACAAGCTAAGAAGATTCATTTCCATGTGTAGGTTGTTTCACTTTAAGAACACTTAATTTCAAAAAAGTTAAAAATATTTTAAGGACACTTTCATTTGTGGTTAGGTGAGTCATCTCCTTATAAATATGGCTATTGCCATCACTTTCCTGCTATATAATGGATTCAATAGCCAGACAAATGCCTCCTGGTAGAGAATATCTAAAATGATGAATAAAATATATTAAAACTTATTTTTCAAAACAGGACCAAGCTATTGGTAAAGTAAGGGAAATAATCTGGTGTCAGAAATGACTAGATTGTGAGAATTAAGACATCAGAGAATATTAGACCCTGTATTTGCCTTGAGACTATCTTCCAACACTGATGGCCTAGAGCTTGGGGGACAAAAGCAAAGCCGAGGCCTGTACAAGGCAGGAGGTGAAATCAAAGACCACAATATAAAGCCAGGTCTCCAAAAGGGTGACACCTTCAACAGGTGAAACAGAAAAATCTTATCCAGTGAAAGGAGACAGGGAATGTGCATGCCTCCCTCAGCCTCAGTCCTGGGAAGAGTAGGAAAAGAGAAAATAGTCAACTTTAGGAGGCACTAAGCAGAAGCCCACCTTTACACAAACTTGGAGCTAGAATTCATATACTACCTGTGTGGCCCTCAACGACCAAAGTCTAATATCTAGTTTAAAGTGATCCTGACCCCATATGTCTAACAAAAGTAAATCAAAATCAAGAACTCATGCAGATAAAGTTACAAATAATACGAGCTTATAATAAAAATAAAACACAGGAAGAGATGAAGCATTATGAACAAGAGGCAACAGACATAATAAAATAAAGAATCATATTTAAAAAATAACAGATATTGGAATTATCAGATACAGAATACAAAACAAGTATGCTTAATAGGCTTAAATAAATAACAAAGGGCACTAAAAATATGAAGAAACAAGAGACTCACAACTGACTCGTGAGATATAAAACATAATCAAACAGAATGTCTATAGATGATATTGTCATCAAAATTAGAAACTTAATGTATAGGTTAAATAGCATGTTAGAACACAGCCAGAAATAAAATTGTTGAGCTGGAAAGAGCTGAGAAAATGACTCAGAATGTAACACAAGGAGACATACAAATGGAAAAATAAGATAAATTCATTTCATGGAGAAGAGAATGAGAAAGTCCAACATATGTCTGATCAGTGTTCCAGAAGGAGATAATATAACAGAGAAGAGGAAATACGCAATGAGATACAGGTTGAAAATTATCCAGAAGTAATAAAATACATCAATCTTAAGATTCAGGAAGCCCAAGTAATTGCAAACAGGATTCTACATTTGGATAAAGTCACGAAATCCTCAAACCCATTAGGATGGGCTATGATTAAAACAAAACAAATAGTTTTGGGACAAGATATAAAGAAATTGAAACCCCTATGCACTATTGAGGTTAGTGTAAAATGACAAAGCTGCTATAGAGAACTCTATGGCAGTCTCTCAAATAACTAAACATAGAACTATCATGTGATTCAGCATTTCCACTTCTGGGTGTATAAAAAAAAAAAACAACCTGAAAGCAGGAACTCAAACAGATATGTGTACACCTATGCTCACAGGAGCATTATTCATAATGGCCAAAAGGTGTAAACAATCTAAGTGTCCAACAGATGAATGTATAACCAAAATGTATAACAAACAACGAAATATTATTCAGCCTTAAAAGGAAAGAGAATTTTGCCACATACTACAACATGGATGAAACATGAAGATATTATACTAAGTGAAACAAGTCACAAAAGGACACTACTGTATGATTCCATTTATATGAAGTTCCTAGGACAGCCAAATAGATAGATGCACAAAGTAGAATGGTGGTTACCAGGAACTGGGAGAAAGTGAGAATGGGGAGTTATTGTGTTTCAATTACGCAAGCTTTTAAAAGCTGGAAATGGATGGTGGTGATGGTTGCACAATAATGTGAATGTACTTAATGCCACTGAACTCTATATTTAAAAGTGATTAAATGATAAATTCATGTTATATACATTTTACAATAATAAAAAAACAGGCCAAATAATAAGTTATAATGGAGATTAGAAAGTATTTATGATATAATAATTTTTTAAACACCATTTATCAAGACTTGTGAAATGCAGCTAAAACAACATTTGGGAATCTTTGCCTAAGTGTATATATTAGAAAAGAAAATTGGTTAGAAATCAATGAATTAAATAATCTAAAATTGTTAGAGAACAAAAAACGAACCCAAAAAAGTAGAAAAAAGTAAATAATAAAAATAGCAGAAACTAATAAAATAAAAAATAATGACACAATGGAGAGAATCAAGAAAGTTAAAAGTCAATTCTTCGACAAGAACATTAAAATTGACAAAACTCTGGTAAGACGAATCATGGGGCAAAAAACACAAACAATATTAGGAGTGAAAGTGGATATCATTACAGAAGCTTCATTATGAACAACTTTATGCCAACAAATTTGAAAGCAAGTCTTAGAAAAATATAAATTACAAAAAGTAACTTGAGAAGAAGTAAAAAATATAACCAATCACATCATCATTAAACAGCAAAATCACTACTTTAAAATATTCTCTTATCTTTATAATGTTTCTCCTTCATAGCATACACAAAAAAGAACTCAAAAAGTATGAACACATTAAATATAACAGATAAAACGTTAAAGCTTTTAAAATAAAATATAAGAGAATATATTTATTACCTTGTGGTAGGTTAAGGATTTTTTAAACAAGAAAGTAAACACTCTTTGGTAAATTTGATTACTTTAAAATTAATAATTTCTGTTTGTCAAAAGTCACCTTAAATAGTGAAAAGGCAAGTTTCAAACTAGAACAAGAATTTTGCAACACATAACTTGCAAGTGATTCATTTCCAGAATCTGTTTAAAATCTCCAACATATGAATAATTAGAAAGAACAACAATATCATAAGAAACTGAGCAAAGGTTAGAAACAAGCATCTCATAGAAGAGGAAACACAAATGGCCTCAAAATTTGTGAAAAGACGCTCATTGTCATTTGTAATGAAACAAGACACCATTCCATTCCCAACCAATTGACAAAAATTTAAAAATTAGACAATAAATTGTTAGCAAGGATGTGGAGCAATAAGAACTTTCATCCACTACTACTAAGAATATAAATGAACAGTAAAATACACAGTGAAACACAGCCACTTGAAAAGCATTGCCATTTTCATGTAAAGGGGAGCTACCCTACCACTCCACTCTACCCTCCAGCAATCTCACTCCTAGATATACACCTAGAAACACTCTTGCTTATATGGAAAAGGATATACGAACAAAAATGTTCAAACCAAAACTGCTCTCAATAACAAAAACCTACAGCTCTGCAAGACCCAGTTTATGCGCCTCCGATTCATACCCCATCCCACCCTCAATCAAGCCAGGGATTTTAGCTTTCCTTTTGCAGTCCCAGCCTAGTCTCCTAACTCCGCCAGCAGTAGGGGTTTTCAGTATCCATCCAAAGTGACTGGATTCATGAAAGCAGTAACTTCATCCACCTTGGGGCATCGGATCTGGGTACCCCAGTGGGTTTCCAAAAAAGCCAGGTGACTTTTGACTAAGGACAGGAGACAGAAAATGACAGGAGATAGAAAGGAACTGGTAGATACAGTATTTTCCCTTCCTCCCCTATACAGACTATTCTAAGGTGCGGTGCCTTTTACATAGTTTAAGAGTGACTGAACAACCCACTGTGTGTTCTTGTGAAGCTGTATCCAGCTTGGTAATAAACTATCCTAAATTTCAGTTCCCTTCTTCCCTGCCTTACTTTTCTTTCCCCCTCACCCTCACTATCCTGAGAATGTATATCCCACTAAAACCTTAGCATGTAAGTTTTGTTTCTGCCTCTACTTCCTAAGGAGCATGAGCTAAAACCGATTTCTAGTGCCCATCAACAGTAAAATGGTTAATTGTACAGTATGTTCTAACAAGAATACAGAAGTAAAAATGAATGCACTAGAGTTACATGCAGTGTCATGGATGAATTGAAAAAGGTTGAGCAAAAATATCAAGTCAGAGAAGAATACATACAATATAATTCAATTTATATAAAGGTGAAAGTCATGCAAAAGAAAACAACATATCACTTACAGATGCATACACTTGTCCTAAAAATACAAAGCAAGGCAAAGGAATATTGATACAGAACTCAGGAAGTGGTAGGGAAGAAGTGGTGTGGAAGAAGAAGATCATGACAAAGGGGATTTCAAAGGATCTGGTAATGCTCTATTTCTTAACCTCAGTGTTACCTGTACTATTTTTTAACTGTTAATATATGTTATATACATTTTTGTAAGATAAAATTTTAAGTAAAAGTTTTTAAAACTGGGTGCTTGCTATTTCCTATTAGACGTCAAAAGATAACGTCCAAAACTGCCACATGCCTGAAGTGACCTTCCAAACACATAGGTTCAGAAAACAGTCTAGGCGGATCTGGTAAGGCGTTTTGCTCCTCTACTCATTTTTTGTATGTCTGCTTGCTTTTGGCATTTTGATTACCACATTCTCTACTGAGATGGTTTGCTCTGAGTTAGTATGGACCCCCATGGGCTGGAGTGTAAGTGAGGAAACATGGTGTGCTACTTAGCTGTGCTACTCAACAGGTCTTGGAGTAGCACAAGGTGCAAGGTGCAAGCTCTCCCAGTTTGGTCTCCTCTTTCCTACAGTAAAAAGGATCAACATCATTATTAACTTACTCATAGGCTTCTTATGAGGATGCTCATAAGAGGATGCTCTACATGAGAGCACTGTGTAGGCTACTCTACACGAGAGCACTCTACATGAGAGTGGCTACTCTACATGAGAGCACTGTGTAGGTTGTTACACAGATGTCAGGAGGCTCTTACGTTTGACCAACAGTATGGCAAACAGGAAGGAAACATCCAAAGCTAAGTCATTGCTCTGAAATACAAGCCATAAGAAACAAAGGCACCTTGCTCTCTTGCCCTCCAAACTCCGCTTTCTTTCATGCTTCAAAAGAATGGCCAAAGCTGTAATGAAACTAGAAAGTGAAGAGAAAGAGCCCTCTACTGTCCCTCTTCTCAGATTTCCTGATGTTTCCATCTCTCTGCCTGAAGTCAGCCCTGATTGGTCAGACTGAGCTTGTTTATTGCAAGAAAAAACTTCATGAATAAAGAACAGACTTTTCTAGGGAAGTTATTAAAGCCTAATGGAGGGGAATAAAGTGGAAAGGAGGGAATTACCCAAGATATTCTGATCCTTCCAGTTGAATGCCATATATTCTGTAGTTGTGAACATAATTATCCCTCTAGGGTGTAGTTATACCTTGTCTAGCTTCTAAAATATTTCAAATAAGCATCTGGTTTCATAAAATTGGTAACAAGATTTCACATAACACATTTTAAGTCCTCTATTTAGCAAATATTTGTGTATAGGATCCCTAAAACAAAACCTTTAATAAAATTGAGAGAGGGTCGTGTGCAGTGGCTCATGCCTGTAATCCCAGCACTTTGGGAGGCCAAGGTGAATCGCTTGAGCCCAGGAGCTCAGGAGACCAGCCTGGGTGACATAGTGAGACCTTGTCTCTATAAAGAGTTATAAAACATAATTAGCTGAGCATGGTAGTGTGCACCTCTGGTCCCAGCTACTTTGGGGGCTGAGGTGGGAGGATTGCTCGGGCCCAGAAGGCTGAGGCTGCAGTGAGCTACAATCATACAACTGCACTCCAACCTGGATGACAGAGTGAGACCCTGTGTCAAAAAAAAAAAAAAAAAGTGAGAGTCTGTTGCTTAAAAGGAAGAAAAATGAAGTAGAATATTAAAATATGGTTCCACTCATTCACAGTCAGTAGAATTTTGGCTCTAACATTGGGATGGGTTTGAAAAGATTCACTCACACAATGCCTTTCTCAGACACCATTATGACCACTAATGGTCATAGTGCTGGGTGATCAGCCAGTACCGAAAGAGAAAAGGGACCAGACTGATAATTTCTGGGTGTCCAATATTGCCAAACAGTATACTATATATTTTACACATGTTCACTTTATTTTATTCTCACATCATCTCAATGAGATAAAGATCATTTTTACTCATTTTAAAGAGAAAGAAATCAAGGCTCAGAGATGGTAATTCAGTCAAGACACACAGCAAGTAAGTGACAAAGGCAAAATCTGTATCCTTATCTGTCCAACTCAAAGGAATATGGTCCTTCGGAGTGCAGTTTGTGGCTTGTGAAACTAACCAGTTCTCTTGGAGATAGAAACTATAAACACCTTACATTCTTGAGGGGGGAACAACTACTTGAAGGCTAATTCATTAGAGTATAACCATCTATGTTGAAAGAGTCTACCAGATAACCACTTAACTTGCCACTAACCTATGCAAAGATTTGTTTGTGTTTGTTGTCACTCAAAATCAGTGTTTCTCAAAACTCAGTTGGCATAGGAAGCATCCGGGGAGCTTAAGAGAAATGCAAACTCCTGGCCCTAACAGGTTTGAGATTCTGATCCAGACGATTTAAGTTATCAAGCTCTCTGGTTGATTCTAATGCATATTATCTCCTAATCACACTTTGACGAACACTATTCTTTGTCTTCTATTACATGTATTCAACATATGAAGTAATCAAAGAACAAAAGCCCTCTTACCTGTAGCATCATTTGGTTGAAGTCATCATAGGTACGAAAAGATGGAATCCAATGTAATTTCCTTTGAGAGCTTTTTGGATTGACTTTGTCTTTTTAGAAAAAGGAAGAAAGTACAGAACAGTGTCACATTAAAATGATTAGCTATGGGTATTAGATTTTTCAAAGTTATACCTAATTTATAGAAAAGACTCATGAGAAAATGCTGAGTGCTAATGAAGGATCTGATGTTGGCTAACTAAGTGTATATAAATGATCACAAACACAGAAGTGTTTGGAATTGAAAAAGACTTTGAAGATCATCCAACTCAATTTCTACCCCACACATTATGACCTGTTAAACACTTTTATGATTTTTCAACTTCTAGTTATTTTTTTCCTCTTGAGTTCTACCAAAACCCAGTATCCATAATCCACCAGGTAAGTCAAGGGGCTCTAAGTAGGTCCAGACCCCCAAAGTCCTCCCCTAGTCCTGACTAAATTATGAAATTCCACTCTTTAGTTTCATCTATTTAAGCTTTATACAAGGTCCCTTAACTAGAATATCTTCAAGCTTTATCTTTCATCTCTTCCAAGCTACTGGTACTGTCCTCTCCCCTATCCGTCCTATCACATTCTTCAGGGTTTTCTGGTTTCCTCAATGAAAAGTGTGTTTCTGCTCCTGTCTTTGCTGTCAACATGTGCCCCTCTCTACCTCCCCAACTCCACCCTACTCCACTAACTTCACTAGCAAAGGGACTTCACTAACACAGCCCTCTAATCTCAAGTGATTTTAATACTTCATGTCAATAAACATTAGTTCCTTCTCCTCACAGAAAAATGAGACCCATAGCATACAACTTTGATCTCTATTAAAAATATAAAATCGTATGACAAGGATAATGTTTACAGTGGCTATTGCTTTCTTGACAGGCATGAGTCTCTGACTCGTTCCTAGAAGTAGAGTTGGGTAAGAGGGAGGCCATGCATAAGGAGAGCTTTAGAGCCCTCACTGATGAGGGAATGAAAATAGGGTGTGTAACTGGGTGTGAAATAGGAGTAACATGAAAAGTAAACCATGCCAACTGCATAAATGCCTCAAGATCAGTGATCCTGACCACTGTCCCAGCTTGGAAACTCAATTCTAGGCATAGCTCTTCAAACTCAAGAAACAACCCATGATACTCTTCCACAGTCAATTTCTGAAGAAATTTCTCCATTGCCTTCCAGTTCCATCTAATAACTTTCACCTCCTATACTTCATTCAAAGAAATAAAAAAGATAGGGGAGTTCATATACTGTCAAGAAAGGATAACCACTGTATTTTATAAATAAATCATAAAGGACTTTTCTACTTTACTATTACCCATGAACTTGTTTTTGTTTATTCTCTAAGGTGTGCATCATATCCAATTCTTCACCATATCCCCAATGTCTAACATGGTACTTAAGTCATGGCAGGGATTTAACACTTGTTAAACTGAACCTCTTTTATTCATTTATTTAACAAATGTTTACAGAGCTTCTGCTATGGGTCATATTCTGCTTTACAGGTTCAGGATATAGCATAAACAAGAAAAATAAGGTGACTGTTCTTTTGTATCTTACAGACTGATGGGGCAGCGTAGACAAATAATCAACACATAGACAACAGAACAGACAGTTTCAGGTATCTGCAAGTACAATAATTGGTAAGATCGGGTGATCAAGAAAAGCCTTACTAGGAAGGTACTAGGAAGGTAACATCTGAACTAAGATTTGATAGACAAGAAACCAACTGTGTGAAGATATGTGACCAAATCATCTCAGGGAGATGAAGCAGTAAGTGCAACATGAAGCAGGAAATCATTTTGCCTATTTGAAGAGACGAAAGGATCCCAAAGTGGCCGCAGTGGGATGACCAGGGGGTAAAGCAGTAGGAAAGCCTGAGAGATAGGAAGGGCCAGATCATGTAGGGTATATGGTAAGAAGTTTGTATTTTATGCTGAGTAAAACATGAAATGCTTTTAATTATTATTATTTTGAGATAGAGTCTCGCTCTGTTTCCCAGGCTGCAGTGTAGTGGCGCGATCTCAGCTCACTGCAACCTCCGCCTCCCGGGTTCAAGCTATTCTCCTGCCTCAGCCTCTCGAGTAGCGGGGAATACAGGTACCTGCCATCACACCCAGTTAATTTTTTGTATTTTTAGTAGAGATGGGGTTTCACCATGTTGGCCAGGCTGGTCGTGAACTCCTGACCTCAGGAGTTCAGGTGATCCACCCACCTCGGCCTCCCAAAGTGCCGAGATGACAGGTGTGAGCCAGCGTGCCCAGCCCATGAAGTGCTTTTAAGCAGGAGAGTGACATGGTAGATTTTTACAAGATCCCTATGGCTGTTTGTTGCAAACAGAATGAAGTGGGTAGCAAAGATAGAGGCAGAATCTAGCTATGAACCTTCATCAAAAGTAAGAGATGAGGGAATGGGGAGATGTTGGACAAAGGATACAAAATTTCAGTTAGAATAAGTTCAAGTTCTATTACACATCATGGTGACTACAGTAAATAACAATATATTGTACACTTGAGAATTGCTAAGAGAGTAGATTTGATGTGGTCTCATCGGAGAAAGGTAAGTATGTGAGGTAATGCATATATCAATTAGCTGGATTTAGCCATTCCACAGTGTATACATATATCAAAATACCATGTTCTATACCATAAATCCACACAATTTTTATTGATCAATTTAAAAAAGAAAAAGAAAAAAAAGTAAGAGATGATGGTGGCCTGGATTTGGGTGGTACATCAAGGCTACGCAAATGGTGAGAAATGTATAGATATGAAACATACTGTGTAGGTAGAAGCCAAAAAAATATTGCAGAGGAATTGGATAGGATGGTGAATGAAGTGGAGGAAATAAGAACGGCTTCTAAACTTTTTGCTTGTGCGCCTGGCAGAACGACTGGTGGTTGCCAGTTACTGATATGAAGAGAACTGGAGGTGGGGATGAGACAGGCAATGCAGTGTAGGGGTATCAAGAGTTCCTTTATGGCCATGTTAACCCTTCTATTTAATATGCAATTGAGGACATCACGTAGAAAACTCTTTTGCTAATTGTATAATAAGTATGATTCTCAGGGAAGGAGCTCAGGGCTGGAGATAGATTTTAAAAGTGGAGGTCACTGATATCTACATAACACTTCAAATCAAGGGAATAGATAAGGTAACCTGGAAAATGAGTACTGTGTAAATATAAAAGAGAAAAAAGTCCAAGGACTGAGCCATGGGTACACCCATGTTTAGAAGTTGAAAGGGGAGGAAGAAGTAAAAAAACACAGATAAAGAGTGGCCAATTCATATGGTTTGGCTTTGTGTCCCTGCCAAAATATCATCTTGAATTGTACTCCCATAATTCCCACACGTTTGTGGGAGGGACCTGGTGGGAGATAATTGAGTCATTGGTGCACTTTCTCCCATCTTGTTCTCATGGTAGTGAAAAAATCTCAGGAGAGCTGATGGTTTCATAACAGGAAACCCATTTCTCTTGGCTCTCATCCTCTGTCTTGCCTGCTGCAATGTAACATGTGCCTTTCCCCTTCCGTCATGATTGTGAGGCTTCCCCAGCCATGTGGAACTGTAAGTCCAATTAAGCCTTTTTCTTTTGTAAATTGCACAGGCTTGGGTATGTCTTTAGCAGCAGTGTGAAAGTGGACTAATACGCCAATGAACCAGGAAAGAAACTTAGTGACTGTGCTGTCCCGGAACCTGAGGGAAAAGTGTTTCAAAAAGGAGGGAGTGGTCACATGTCCAATGTTTTGGAAAAGTCAAGAAAGATGAGGACAGTTAAACCAAATAATTCAGCAATGTGAAGGTCACTGGTATCACTGACAAAAGTAGTTGTAGTTGAATGGTAGAAGCTAAAGCCTCAGTGAAGTCGGTTGAGGAAAGAATGGGATGTGAGCCAGTGGAGACAGGGCCCATAAAATCATTTCAGTAAGTTTTTCTGTGAAGGAGGAGAACACAGAAATAGGGCAATACCTGGAGGTATCATGGGGTCAAAAATTATTTTAAGGTAAGAGATTATTACAGTATAATTACATATTTATGGGCATGACTTACTCAGATGTTTTGAGTTAAACCTACTGAATTAAACCTTAAAATATTGTAGGTAATATTTTACAGGCTCGGGGCCATGTTTCCCTCAGCAACATTTACCACATACCTTTAAGTGCTTAAGATACAGAAATTTGCATTATTTCCCACATATGCTTCTATTAATTTTCATTTCCTTGGCCCACTTTTGCATGAATCTCAATCACATTTTAAGTGTCAACCATATACAAACTTGTGAATGCAAAGAAACAAACTATCTGTGTATTAGAAGGTACTTCAAGAGTTCCTCTAATCATTAATTATTCCCAACAAATGTCTGAGGTAAAGTGAGAGACCAAGTTGTCCCACCCACAGCTAATTTTCAATGTGGCTAATCGAAAACCTATAATGATGGTGGAGGCTGAACAAATCAAACCTTTGTCCTTTTGTGAAAGGACAGTGGTGCTCTGTGATGTTTCCGATTTGTCTCCTTTTACAGGATAGCCATGAGTTTGCAGTATTTTGCGGAGTCTTGTCAAGACGGCATTTAATTCAGCCTTCTTTGCCTTTTCGAATTCATCAGATTCATCCCTAATTGAGAAAAAGAAAACCAATCAGGGTTACTAATGGCAAGGGTGGGGTGGGGAAATCAGATGATGGAACAATAGAAGAAGAGAGAAAGGGAGAAGTTAGTGTCAATATTTGAGCAAAAATCCAGTCCTTTGATTACCCATAGAGCAACAATAATAATCATTATTAAAATAAGGAAATGAAAGCCAACTTCATTTCCCTTTGCTGTGGGGCCCTTGAGGGTAGGGACCATATCTGTCTCCTTGTCTCTTCCAGAACAAAGCCCCGCACAGTACCTGGCACAGTGACCTAAGAATTATATAAAATAAGTCCAAATTAATTGGAATTTAACAGTGGGTCTTTGTTCCACCATATATTATTACATCCTTTAGCAAGAGTGTTTCTGATAAAATTAAATTCTTTCTAAGTGGTCTATAATCACACAAGAGGCTCTCTCAAAGCCAATGCTCTTCTCAGAGAGGAGACTGAACCATAAAATGCTAATTGATTTTTTATTTTTTACTTTTAAAAACCACAGATCATACTGCAAACTTTTGACAAAATCTTTTTGATCAGTGTACTTGAATTTATTTTAGAAGTTTGATCTGGAAAAATAAATTAATTTATCTTCTCAAACACAAATGAATTTAAGCTGTAGGCAAGCCAAGGCTCAAAAACAGTCTTCTAAAAATATCAGGGACTGTATACTTGTCAGTCATTTGACAACCATTAGAGTCAGCTCTGGGCAGGCACTATGCAAGGCATGGAGGACACAGTTTGAGGAAGAGGGCTGTCAGGTAAATAGGTAATGTGCTAAGTATTATAATAGAGTTGGGGCTGAGAGTTATGGAAAAAAAAAAAAAACACTGGAGAAACGACATTTCTCTGAGTGAATTAGGCTTCCCTGAGGAAATAGCATTTTGCTAGATGTGAAATGGGAACAGAGCACGAGGGAGAGGGCTTTGACAGAAATGTCAGTCAGTTATGAATGCATACCTCTTCTCTTTCTCTCTCTCATCCTCATTCATTATTCAGTGATGTAAGGAAGACTCCTGAAATCAAAGTGAAGCAATATTTTACTAAGAAATCAGTTTTAGTGGTGAATCACAGTAAAGCAATAAGGATAATCAAAATTCTCAATTGCATAACACTTTTCCCTCAAGGAATGCCTACTTCTTTTAAAGATAGGCTTTCATTAAGTACCAATAACACTCTCATATGTTATGTAGATGTTGAAGACTTGCTTTATTGTGTAATCCCCAATGAATATTTTTGATAATAACATTACACATGAATATATTTGTAAAAGTTACAAAAACATTCTGTGGTTACACCACTTAATCAAAAAACAAAAACGAAAACAAAAAACAAGTATTTGTAGTTTTAGTTCCATACCCTTAAATTCATTTAACTTTCATTAACTTTGAGAAAATGTAAGGAAATGAAGACAGATGCAGTTTAAAAGCTTCATGCCAAGCATGTACATGCCACAAAAGAGAAAAATCTGCATTATTGTTGTTCACAGAAATCCTTGGTGTATAAAACAATGACCTTGAAATCACTGAAGTCCTCTGCTTTGAGCTGTACAATTAGACTCACACATCACCTCAAGGCCAAAGCCTCAAGGTAGATGTCAATGGCATCCCAATACATATGTGTTACAAAAAAGTGATCAAAATATAGCAAACATCCTTTAAATGCTCTCTAAGTAAGGGAAAGCTTGGGGAGTCAAACACTGGAAAGGTACTAAGCACGAAATATGAACCTGTGCTTGGTGTTAATGCTCTCCTAGATAAAAAATAACCTGAACAGGGAAGTGAAACTAAAGCTCACCATCTCTCCCTATGTATAGCCAGAACTCCCAGAGGCTAACATTACATTGAAAAAAAAAATGGATAAAGAATAACCCAAACAAGGAAGTGGAATTAAAACTCACCACCTCTGCCTACATGTAGCCAGGACTCCCAGAGGCTAACATTACATTGAAAAAGAAAAAAAAAAAAATCCTCCCACCAACAAAAGAAGAAAACAGGAAGCTTGTCTGTCTCAGCATGTTCTCTGGGTGCAGGGGAAAAGACACCACCATACGGAATCAACCTTGGGGTTCCAGAAAAGGCAAAGATAAACCCCTTCTGGAGAGATACTTTCTAAAGACAGATTCCACAGAATTTCCACAGATAAGGCACTGTTGAAGATGAGCTCACTATTCAAAATTAGAAAATACGTAAGGAAATAATCTATCAATCCCCAAACTAAGGGACACACACACCCCCCAACAGTATGAAACCCCCAAGAACTTCAAATAGCTGTGGAGAAAGATGAATTAGAAGTTATATAAATAGATATATTCAATGAAATTAATTTTTAAAAGATGGGTTGAACAATGTATTAGAAACATCAGATAAGGAAATTAATAAATGGAACACAGCTATGAGAAAACTTGCCATACAGTAGGAGAAAATGGGTTGGAAAATATGAAACAAGAGGTTATGAGATATGAAGGACAAAATGGGAAGGCACAGTATATATCTAAGAGAGGTTCCAGATAGGCATAATAGCAAGGGGAGATGAGTAGTAAGGAGACAATTTTAAATTTTCCAGAATGGAAAATGTGACCCAATCTGGATAAATTAAAATAAAACCACACCTAGAAACATCACAGTGAAATTTCAGAGCACCAAAAACAGCTAAGCCATTCTAAGCCATGAAAAAGATCAACACATACCAAAGAATATTATCAAACAGACCGTATTTCTGGCCCAAATACAATTAAATTAGAAATCAATAATAAAAAGACAATACAAAACCTGATCGATTTGAACATTCAAAATAACAAAACTTCCTAAATAGCTCTGAAAAGCAGAAAATACTCAGAACTAAATATTACAAGTATACCACGTTAAAAATATATTAAAGTAAAATGCAGCTAAAGTAGTACCAAAGCATTTGGTCTTAAATGCCTATTAGGAAAAAAAGTAAACAAAAACTAGTAAACAAATTAGTAAACAAAATTAGTAAGCTGGCCGGGCTCAGTGGCTCACACCTGTAATCCCAGCACTTTGGGAGGCCGAGGCAGGCAGATCACCTGAGGTCAGGAGTTCAAGACTAGCCTGGGCAACATGGTAAAACCCTCTCTCTACTAAAATACAAAAAATTAGCCGGGTGTGGTGGTGGGCACCTATAATTCCAGCTACTCAGGAGGCTGAGGCTGGAGAATTGCTTGAACCTGGGAGGCAGAGATTGCAGTGAGCCGAGATCACACGACTGCACTCCAGCCTAGGCGACTGAGTGAGACTCCATCTCAAAAAAACAAATAAACAAAAAACAGTAAATTAGTAAACAAAAAAAATTAAAAATAAAAGTAAAGCTAAAGAAAGGAGAAGTAAGAAAATACTAAATAGGACCAGAAAATAATGCAATAAAAATAAAGATAGAACAGAAATCTTAAAATGGTTTCTTAAAATAAAAACTAGTGAAATAAATAAAGCATTGTTATACAAGGTTAATCAAGAAACATGGGAGAGGACACATTTTGGAATGAAAGGGCATACTATAAATACAACATAGTAAAAAGCAGTATGATCAACTCTACACCCATAAATTTGAAAACAGTGAAACAGAGATAAAACGGGATACTGCCTTGGAAAATGAATTTTACCCAAACCTATTTAAGGATACAAAAAAAGCTGAATAAACTCTACAAATCTAAATAAATAAATTCGGTAATGAAAAATCCATCCACAGAAAATAACCTAAACAAATCTAAGCAAAACCTGATGATTTCACAAATGGATGCTTCTAAACATTTAGAGAACTGATAGGTATCGCCTATCTCATGCAAATTATGCTAGAAAACACACAAAAAGAGAAACTACCCAATCTATTTTATAATGCTAGTATATTCTTCATACCAAACTAGAGAAAGGCAGCATCAAAAAGAGAAACTTTATGTCAGTTTCGTTTATGATCCATATGAAAAAATTCTAAATAAATTGTAGAAACCCAAAGCAGCAGGGTATTAAGAAAGTGGAGTTAATCCAGAAATATCAGGATATTTTCACATTAGAAAAAATATGTAATTCAACATCCCAGATAAAAAGAGAAAAAGCATGTGATCATCTCTGTAGATTCAGAAAAATACATTTGATGTAATTTAATACACACATATGATTTTTGAAAATATTCTTAACAGACTAGGAATACACAGAAAGTTCCTTAACCTGATAAAATTTATCAACCAGAACATACAATCCTCCTATGTAAAGGTAGAACATTAAAGGAATTTTTTAGTTTCAGGAAAAAAAAGAGTGGCTGCTAAAACACTTAACACAGTGCTAAAAGTGCTAACCAATGCCTTAAGGCAAGAAAAGTAAATAAAATGGATAATTATTGGAAAGGAAAAATAAAACTGTCTGCATTCATGAACATTCTGATTATCTACATAGAAACCCTAAGAAATTCTGCAAACTATTAGAAATAAAATAGTTCAGCAAGGTTGCTGTGTACAAGATTAATATTTAAAAACGAATTTGTTCCTACATACCAGCAACCAAAATTAGAAAGTATTTTTAAAACATACAATAGCACCAAAAATTATAGAGGTCTGCTATGGCTTGGTTGTGGTTTCCTGTCTCCACCAAAACTCATGTTGAAATTTGATCCTTAAAAAGAAGCAGTGCTGGAAGGTGGAGCCTAGTGAGAAGGTTTGGGTTATGAATGGTTTGGTGCCATTCTCCTGGTAGTGAGTTCTCACTCTCCTGATACAGGATTACTTCTCAGGGGAATGGATTAGTTTCTGAGAGACTGGATTGTTAGAAGCTGAAGTTCCTCCTCCTTCTTGCCTCACTTTTTGCTCATGTCCCCTTCCCCTTCAACTTTCTCTGCCATGTTGTGATGTAGTGCAAAATTCCTTGCCAGAAGCTAGGACCACGCCCTTGAACTTCTCATCCTGCAGAACCTTGAGTTAAATAAACCTCTTTTCTTTATAAATTACCCAGTCTCAGGTATTCTGTTATAACAACAGAAAACAGACTAAGACAGGATTGTTGCTTATCACTAGAATAACTGATGTGGGAACAGCCCTCCTGCCATGAACAACAAGGAAACTGGACAAATTATAGGAAACGCCTGTTCTAAGACACTGGAAAGAGGTAGCACATGCCTGTGATCTTTGAGATAAGAGCAAAAATGAGAAGAGCTCCACAATAATCCCAGATTTCTACCTGAGGACACTTCCAGACCATGATTGAGGGAGAAGGATCTCAAGCAGAATAAAGTGGTCTCATTAAGTTTTAGGAGACAGACATAAGAGTTCAGAAAGCCAAGAAAGATGGTTACAATTTATGGAGCAGAGTATCAGAAAGAAGGGAGCTCTGGGGGAAAAAGAGTTCCAGAAATCTGCATACATGTTTGTTTTTGTTTGTTTGTTTTTTGAGATGGAGTCTCACTCTGTCACCCGGGCTGGAGTACAGTGGCACAATCTCGGCTCGCTGCAAGCTCCACCTCCCGGGTTCATGCCATTCTCCTGCCTCAACCTCCTGAATAGCTGGAACTACAGGCACCTGCCACAACGCCCGGCTACTTTTTTTTGTATTTTTAGTAGAGACGGGGTTTCACCGTGTTAGCCAGGATGGTCTCCATCTCCTGACCTCGTGATCTACCAGCCTCAGCCTCCCAAAGTGCTGGGATTACAAGCGTGAGCCACCGCGCCTGGCCTGCAAGGTGACATTCTACAAGACCAGTCAAAGATCAACTACCAGGGAGAGAACAAATGGTATGAATACAAAACTAAATAACCACCACAGTTCATGCATAGGCGGAAGACATTTGAGTTGTATCTAGCCAGTGTAGAGGAAAATGAGCAGTCTCTCTCTCAGTGTGGGATGGTATCAGGCCATCTAAAATATAAGTTACTAGATTCCCAGAAGAGGGAGGCAAACATATTTTTTGGAAAAATAATTACCAATTTTTTTTGCCATACTGGATGAAAAATATAAACTCATATATCCAAGAATATTGGTGACTCCAATAAAATAAACACAAAGAAAAACTA